GCGAACCGGCCCGGTGCCGAGTGCGAGCCGGGAGCCCCGGCCCCGGGCGGGAGGGCGCCGGGACCGCGGTCTGTGCGGGGGCTGGTCCCTGCTGCAGGGGTCCGGGGGTTGTTTTGGGTCCAGGACGGGGCTGAGCCCCTCTGGCTCTGCGGCTTGTCCCTGGTCTCGTAGGGAGAGAGAGGTGTTGGGCACGACGGGGCTTTTGGCGTCCTCGGGATGGGCAGCGGGCGAACCCGGCTTCTCTGGAGCTTTTCCAGGCTGCTCTTTGCCGAGACACCCGGAGGGCGAACGGGGAGGCGGCAGGGAGGCCCACGGACCCAGCGGGCCACCAGCTCATTTGCCTCCTCTCCCTTCCCCTGGCAGCGGTGTCCACCTCCGTCTTCATCGTGGCGGTCCTCGTCCTGCTGCTGCTCCTGTACCACCGGGACCCCATGTGCTGCCAGTTCCTCTGCTCCTGCCGCTTCTTCCAGACCCCCAGCCAGTATGTGAGTGTCCTCCCTCTCCTCCTCCTGCCTGCGAGTCCCCGGCTGCCCCCCGAGCTCTTGTTCCCTTGTGCTGGGGTCTGCGAGGCTGCATCGCCGGGCTCCCCTCCTGCAGCCTGGCTGGGCTCGCTGGTGGACGTGGGACCTCCGAGCGGAGCGGGGCTCTGCCTCCTCCTCGTTCCCACTCTACCCCAGAGATCCACCCACCCAGCCCTGCCTGGCTGTGCCGCCGGGGTAATATCTCCAAGGCCTGAGACTAGCAGGTTCCCCAGCTCCCCGTGCAGCTCGGGAGGGATGTCCTCCTCCCCCGGCACAGTTGCGTGCGGGGCCGGGCTCTGTTTTACAGGGAAGGAGCCCAGCGGGGAAGGGGGCTGGAAGCTCAGGGCGAAGGCAGACAATGCCGCTCGCCAGCGCTTGCATCCCCGGCAACTGGCTCTCTTGTGCACAGCTCCCAGGTGCCGAGCAGCGAGAGACAAAGCCCTTTCGCTTGCATCTGTAATTTCCTGGGGCTGGCTTTCAAGTGGGAGAGTGGTGATGGATAAAGAGCAGCGTGGTTCAGCCAGCGCTGCCTTTGTGGTGGTGGCTGCCTGGGGAAAGCTCGGCTTCCAAAGGCCGCAGGGATGGCTGCTCAGGGGAGGGCTGTGGCTGCTGCTGCAGAGTCCCTGGGAGAAGAGGGGGCCTCCAGCCTCGGCGAGCAGGGGACAGAGAGCCTTGTGCCGCGAAAGGCAAATTTAACAGTCAGCGCAGGCTGGGAAGTCCCCAGCAGAAAGCACAGTGGGAATGGGCTGCGCTGCTGGTGTCCCCTGCCCGCTTCGCTGCGTCTGCTCCTTTCCCCCTCTTCCTCCCCATTCCCTGTCCGTGGCACGCGTGGGGGAGAGGGCTCGGACGCCGCGCTCCTCGCCCTGCAGAGCTGCTCCCCAAGGCTGTGCAGGGTGTGCCGTGAGCTGCGGAGCCTTCGCCGTGCTTGGGCCTGGCTCGTGGTGGGCGGGTGGTTAAAGGAGAAGGCATCTTGCCTTTAGCAAAAGGCTGTGCGGACAGATGGATGTGGATGCGAAGAACTATATATGGAAAGGGAACGTATCTAGGACGTACTTCCACCAGAAAAAGTGAAGCAGTTGTAGTGGTGTGAGGCAGCTTTCAAGCAGGTGTAGTTGCGCTGGTTTTGCTAATCAGTTATTAAAACAAACAGTTGCAGCCCCAGCCAGCCCCGTTTCCTGCAGCTTCTGTAACTGCGCCGTAGGGCCGAGACGAACGGTTCCTCGGTTGTTAAGAGCAAAAGCGAATCTGTCATTCGCAGTTCCCCCTGGGAGTCCCTGGTTGCTCTGGGAGTCTCTGGACTGTTTTCTGCTGGCAGAGATGGGGCTTTTCTGAGAGCGAGGAACGTCCCCCAGCTCCAGTCCTGGCTCTGGCTCGAGGGGCTGCTCTCCACGAGAGGGATCTCTGCTGTTGCTCAACACCTTGACAGGGAATCGAGTTTAACTGGAGCAAGACTGCTCGGGAGCAGAACAGCTATTGCTCTGCAGATTTGCTTGCTACATTATCCTGAAACGACTACCTCGGTAGATAAGCGTTTACAAATTCTGTAACTCTGAGCACGTGATGGAGCTCTTATCTACACTAGCGGAAGAGTTGGGCTGGTTTTTTGTTGTCCCCCAAAGAGAGATGGTTCTGCCGAGTCTGAATGAAACCCTGCCCTGGGCCCAGGCTGCTGTCCCTCCGGCTGTGCTGCGTAGCGGCGCCAGCTGGCTTGGGCCCTTCGAGCGGGTCCCGCGCTGCCCGGTGAGGATGTGCCCGAGCTGTCGGTGTCGGTAAACAGGCAGGCGGAGGGTGGCTGCCAGCGGCAAGAGCCGCATGAGCCAAATGGGCAGAGGTAGCGGTTCTCCCCCCTCCCCGCCCAGAGTCCCGCTTCCCAGGCTGTCCCGAGTGAGCTGGCTGAGCTCCGCTCGCTGCCGGGCAGGATGTGAGGGATTTCGGCTCTGCTCACGCCCTCCTCCCTGACCCCTCGTTACAGGACTGCCCCCCGCCCTACTTCAGCAGCAGCCAGCGGCTGGTGGGTCCCCAGTGCGGAGCGTCGCGGCTGGAGAGCGCTGCTGAGAACCCTGGCGTGCAGGTGACGGCTGGGTCCCTGATGGGAGCTGGGAGGGAAACGGTAGCAAAGATCCTGGTTATGGGGACCTGGGGCATAGGGAGAAGGTGCTGGACAGCAGGAGCAACTTTGGGAAGTGCTGTTGGTATGTAAAAACCTGGGGGAGGGCGTGGGGGGCAGGGATACTGCAGAGGACACCACGGTGCCCTGAGGTGTTTGGGCATGAAGTGCCAGGCAGATCCCTCGGGGCCTGGGATTTGCAAAGCAGGTCGTGGTGTAATTACCTCCCGGGAGGGAGGATTTCCTCTCTCGGGGTCCAAGGAAGGGCACCCACAACTTTGAACCCTGAAGTAACTTGAGGTGGCACCAGGCCATGAACTTCCAGCGAAGAGAGCCACTGCCGCGCTGACCTTTCTCTTCCGGGCTGGGCATTTCTAGGGAGACGAGCTGTTCTGCGTCGGACCTCCCAGCAGCTACCAGCTCCCTTCCTGGGAGCAGCCCCGCTTGCCAAGCTACGAGAGCGTGCGGAAGAAAGATCGCCAGAGGGAAATCCATCAGATGATTGCCGAGAGGTTTGGGCTGTGGGCAGAGCCCTCCCAGGAGGTGAGCTCTCCCTCCCCTGCACGAGGGTGCTGGCAGAGGCCCGGGGGGCAGTCCCCCCTCCGGTCTGTATCTGGGTCTTGCTTCAGCAATTTGCAGTAGCTAAGGACTCTGTTCTCTGCGATTGCCTTTCTCTGATAGCCTTTATCTCTGGGAAGGGCACAAAGTGTACCAGGAGGCTCCTTTTGTGTACATTTGTGCTGGTTAATGATCGATCTCTCCCCGTGCGTTTGCAGAAATGCCTGTGCCAGGAGGCAGGGTAGAGCTGCTGATGAAAGGGCAGGCCCTTCAGATCATCTGCTTGGTACAAGCCCAAGCTGGGAATGTTATTTTTAGATCTGTAAGGCTTCCACGGTTTCTTGCTCCCTTCTCCCTGCAGGACACCTCTGGGAGGCCCCTCGCTATTACCTTGAAGTGTTTATGGCTTATTTATAAGCAGGAGGCTTTGCCTGTTACGGCATTTAAGATTTGCACTCCTGCAACAGAATAGAGAAAAGCGAGTGCGTCTGCCAAGTAGGTCCTGTGGCAGCGGCCCGAGAGGCTCCTGTTGAACAAAGAGACCTCATTGACTAAAGCAGGACAGAAACATTTGAAACCCAGAGTAGAGCACTAAAGGTTCACTGATTTACCTGGATTTTGGGCTCTTAAAGCTGCACCGTAAAGTTTGGCATAGTCAGCACTTGCTGCTCGGTGTTTGGAGCTGTAACTAACGATACCTGCCCTGAAACCAGAGCACCGAGGGCACAGGAGAGTAAAGCCCCCAAGGACGAGCAGCTGAGGAACTGCAATGAGAGCTCTTCCACAACATCCCTGTGCCACTCCCGTCTCTTCTTATGGGGACAAAGCTAGCCCAGCTCTGACAACATAGACGTAACGACAGCCCAGCGGTTCCTCTCTGCTGCTGTGCTTGCTAACAAAACCTGGGTAGAAAGCCTGGTTTGGAGGTGCTTGTATAAATCCCAGTAATTGGTCCTTGGTCAAAGGAAAGCAAACAACAGTTCCGTTTTAACAAAAGTCAAGTCTTTTCTGGCCTTGTGACAAGTAGTGACAAGTCCTTGAAGGGGGACAGGGAAGAGCAGGAGCCCAGCACAGAGAGTGTGAGGGGGGAGCGGGTGGAATGTGCCTCTCCAGTGGATTCCTGCCCTGCTGTGTTGCAAACTGCTGCTAAGAACTCATTTTCCAAGTGTTCATCTAGCCAGCAGCTCACTGCTCTGAGGACTGCAGGAATTTAATTTCAGGCTGGTGGTGGTTGTGAGCCCTGTCAGCCGCTCTGTAAGAAGAGGTGGGATAATCTGGTTATTTCTGATCATCTGTAATGCTCTTCCTCTCCCCTCAATAGATGCCGCCTCCCTACGAGCATGCTCTGAGGCATCCTCCAGCTTTCTCAGGAACAGTAATAAGCTCGGAGACCTTGGACAGACGTGGTGTGCCAGACCCTTTCCAGGCCCCTCTCAGCTGCCAAACTCAGCGAAACACGGACGTATAAGGCCTCGGCCTCCACGTACTGCTTCTTCCTGTGGCGTCAGCGACAGAAGTGCCTGTGACATCGTTCTCGTCTGCAGGGAACAGCCGAACCTCAGACCTCCGCAATCAGCCGAGACACAGGCAAGTCAGACCCAGCCAGCGGAGACATCCCTCCCGCAGCACCAGGACAACCACGGAGCCACCGCCAGGTATCGCACTCTGAGCAGAGCAACCAGGGATGCCCGCTCGCTCTTCTTTGGCAAACGTACCGTTACCAAAGGTGACGGACCAGCTGCTTGCTTCTACACGAGGGGCAAAGCCAAGGTGAAGGTCTGCTCAGGCAGAGCTCCTCCAGGCAGCTGCTGTTATCATACCTCTGTGAGGCAAGCACTGCCTGGCGTGCCAAGGATCAGACCTCGGACAGTGGTCACGTTGTGCTACTTCACTTACTTCTTAGGTTGTAAAATGTTTTACTTTATTGGTGTATTGGGTACCAGGTGGGGATCCTCACCTGTGAGCGGCAGAATGAACCTGCATCGCAGCATCGCTGTGTGCTCTCACAGCAACGGTCATCTGTGACTGAGAGCAATTTTGTATGGACTTCAGGTAGATTCAGAGAGGCTACAGGGGCTGTGTCACCCGCTGTATGCAAATAGCGACCACCGAGATGAACCGTGTGACTGGATGTGCAAGCTGGGAAAGGACAGAAGCATGGACAAAATAATAGCTGGTGGTCTCCATGAAGAACGTAAAGCAAAGGTGGACGTGTGGCTGACCCAGTCTTCCTAGTCGTCTTCTGCAGAGCAGACAATCTAATAACATCAACACTGGTGCCCTTCCACCACCAATTTTGATAACCTGTTTTCTACTGGCGTCAACACCCACCAATTTTGATAACCTGTTTTCTACTGCAGAGCCAATGTCTCAAATTGTTTACAAACCTGTAGATAAAATGAGATCAGTTTGGCCACAGGGCATTTGGGCTCCTTTCTTTCGAGCAACATAAGCTCAAAAATGTCACGGAATGACTCGGGGAAGAGAAAAGGATAAATCTTCTGGATTATGGCTTTGTGATACACCACCAGCCGCTGAGCTTCAAATACCAGGCACCCTAAAATTAGTCACGAGTGTGCTTTACAAGTGTGAACTTGCCTCACGTGGCTAGTAAATGAAACACTTTCAGATATTTGAGTTAATCATTGAGGTGAGTTAGATAGAAGGAAAAAAACTAGCTTTCTGGGATGCAGTTAGGTGCAAATGGAAAATGATCTGTTCTGCAGTATTTTGAATTAAGATACAACTATAACAGTAATGTCTAAAAATGAATAAAAATAGATAGAGGGAATTATTAGTGGGACAAGTACTGACGTAAGAGTGATTGTAGAGAGAACTCATCCAGCGGCACGACGGAACAGGTTCTGCAGAGTAAGGCAGCTCGATACTAAATGAATATGTAAGTAACATATTCTATGAACAGCCAAGACCTTCAGCAGCCCCACAGCATTTATTAAACACTCTTACAAACGCCAGCAGGTGATCCCAGTGCCTGAACACTGACCACGTGTGCTTTAGGAGCAAGAAAAAGTCCTAAACTGGTATCTTCAGAGCTAGACTATTCCTGTCCTCGGATGCCAGTCCAGCTGGAGTGGTCTGTCCCAGCCGCTCCTTCCCACCCGTCCCTACATGACGCAGGAGGCTCAGAGCATGGTGACCAGTTTAAAGCTTCCTACTTCTGCGGTAGGGATAACATTGATAAAGGTTTTATAAAGAATTGCTCCTTTGGGTAGACGACAGATCACTTCCCTGCTCTCGCTGCTGCGGGGCGGAGGTACGTAGACCTCTTTGGTGTATCTCACAATCCCATCCTCCAGGGCGTAGAGTGTCTTGTTACGGCCCATCCCCACCTGGGGGAGGATGAGAAGTGTTAGCAAGCAAAGGCTGGAGGTCCACCACTAAAGCAGATCTGATCGTTGGTCTGCCTCGTTTGATAACCTGGCTTCAACAGCATCTGTTGCTTTGTATTTTAAAATAAAAGACGACCATGCTGTTTGCTTCCAGCAGTCAGTACGCAATGGTGCTCATTACAAGGGAGAAGATACCGATTCTACCCTGAAGCACAAGAACACAGAAGTGTTTGGGGATATCCATAACTTTCAGTCCTTTCCTCAGTCACGTGGGCACAGGTGTGACTCTGAGCAGGCTCTGTGACTAAGAAATACCAGGTAATGACACCCAATTTCAGGATTATATAGCATATAGGGAAGAGCATTAAAAACTAGCTTGAGGGAGAGGAGGCACTGAGTACAGGACTCTGTAGCGGGCTGCTGTTCTCTGAGAACCAAGGGAGAGATGGAAAAGCAACTTACATGAGCCCCTGGATGCCAGCGTATCAACCGCTGCGTAGCCAAGATATTGCCTGCGTGCACAAATGCACCTGCAACAGAGTGACAGAGTCAGACTGCAGAGAAACAGAGCTCCCCGAAGCCCTGGCAGAACACAAATGGTTCCAGGACTTACAAAACCCAGCTTTCTGGGGGAATTTTCTAAGGAAAAATTACTTCAAATGTTAAAAGCATCTAAACAAAAATGCTGTTAGCAGGAAATAAAGGGCAATTGATATACAATGGCAAAGAGCAATTCTAGTCTTTGAAAAGGTTACTTCTAGGGTACAGAGCATTTTGTGGTTGCTGAAGGCATTTGTTTTATTACTGTTTATTACTGTTTATTATTGATATGTTTTCATCAGCAAAGCTAATAATTATTAAGCACTCAGCTGCAAGAATCTGTACTTTGGCTTCTGCTAAGCCTCATCATTCTCCCCTTTGTAAACATTGAAAATGCCCAGCTTTTCAAAAAGTGCACAGGGGAAAGTGCACTTGAGTTATTAGGTGTCCCACAGCGTACCCTCCTCCCAGGCTCTCCAGGGCAGCAAAGTTGCAATCAAAGTACATTTTCTGTAGGCAATTTCGGCTGGCCGCTCGTGGGCCTGTCTGCGAGGGAGGCTGACTCACCCTGCCCTCCCGCCAGCTACCCTTGATCACGAGGTTTCACTGAACCTCCCCTTTCCTTTCTCCTGGAAGAGCGCGCTGGCCACCTCCTACTGAAATGCTCAACAACTGACACCCGTACCAGGGCAGAAGCTGTGAAGAATGCAATGAAACACAAATAAGACTCAGCAGATACTCAGACCTACCTTCCACTTTTTTGAATCCATAGCGCTTCCCAGGGCTGCGGCCACCTAAATTTTTTGAGCTGCCTCCAGTTTTCTTAGAAGCACATCTGACAGCAACCAGGCTTGTTTGTGGAGCAGTTAGAACTAGGTTCGGAGCAAGAACAACAACATCATCATTATCAGCTTAAAAAAACCCCCTATTACACATGCTTTCTTTTTTCATAGAATCATAGAATCATTAAGGTTGGAAAAGACCTCTAAGATCGAGTCCAACTGTCGCCCCAACCCCACCATGCCCACTAAACCATGTCCCTAAGCGCCTCATCTACACGTCTTTTAAATACTTCCAGGGATGGGGACTCACCCACTTCCCTGGGCAGCCTGTTCCAATCTTTAACCACTCTTTCAGTAAAGACATTTTTCCTCACGTCCAATTTAAACCTCCCCTGGCGCAACTTGAGGCCATTTCCTCTCGTCCTATCGCTTGTTACTTGGGAAAAGAGACCGACACCCACCTCGCTACAACCTCCTTTCAGGTAGTTGTAGAGAGCGATGAGGTCTCCCCTCAGCCTCCTCTTCTCCAGGCTAAACAGTCCTAGTTCCCTCAGCCGCTCCTCATCAGACTTGTTCTCCAGACCCCTCACCAGCCTCGTTGCCCTTCTCTGGACACGCTCCAGCACCTCGACGTCCTTCTTGTAGTGAGGGGCCCAAAACTGAACACAGTATTCGAGGTGCGGCCTCACCAGGGCCGAGTACAGGGGCACGATCACTTCCCTACTCCTGCTGGCCACACTATTGCTGATACAGGCCAGGATGCCATTGGCCTTCTTGGCCGCCTGGGCACACTGCCGGCTCATGTTCAGCCGGCTGTCGACCAGCACCCCCAGGTCCTTTTCCGACAGGCAGCTTTCCAGCCACTCTTCCCCAAGCCTGTAGCGCTGCATGGGGTTGTTGTGGCCGAAGTGCAGGACCCGGCACTTGGCCTTGTTGAATCTCATCTAGTTGGCCTCGGCCCATCGATGCAGCCTGTCCAGGTCCCTCCGCAGAGCCTTCCTACCCTCCAGCAGATCAACGCTCCCGCCCAATTTCAGATTTAAAGGATGTCAGTTAATGCAGGCTTTAAAACTAAAGGCAAAAGAAAGCTCTGAGGGAAAAAAAAAAAAACAACTTCCAAGATAAACGATAATTAGACCACCATGGCCTAAGTCCCCTGCAAAGAGGCCACATCTCAAGTACTGCTGCTGCCCAGGGAGGAATAAAACCCTTGGCAACGATGTTAAAGGACATGCACAAATTCCTGTTTCAGCACGGCCTTGTGAAATAAGGTACAGCAGTTACCGGTTGCTGTGGATTGGCCTTACACTGCTTTGAGAAAAGACAAGTTGTGATCTCTGTTTCAGTTTCCTCTTTGATCGAATAGCATTTACTTACACGGTAATATTTTGAAATCTTACAAATGAGAAGACTCCAATTCAGGACAATATATAAGCATATATAGACTTGCTATCCTGAACATACTAATTGAAGCATTTTGTGCAAATCCTTGAGTTACAATCAGGACAAGTCAAGGAGAAAAAAAAAAAAAAATCAGTTGTTACAGACACTGATTATCTCTGGAACACGAAATATTATTCACACCACAAACTTCTTCCTTAAACAAACAAACAAACAAACAGAAGACATTGACAGAAAACACATTGGTTTTCTTATCAAAAAAGCTGACCCTCTAGTGAACTTCGCTCTGTACAAAAAAGTGATTGCGATATTAGTCCTTTATAAAAATCTCTTCAGTACCTCCTTTCATGCAGTTAGCAGGCAAATACAATTTTTCTGAATCCCTCTATTCAACCTCTTAAGCAGCAAGTTAGTATGGAAGAGTGGTTATCATAACATTCTTCTTTTCTTACCCTGACTAAAACCACTGGATTAATTTAATCTTAATTACATTATTATACTCAGCGAGCTAGAAGTATTGTTGAGACAAGGGAAATTGCTCGACAAAGAACTATTAATTTCAGGATCTTACCCATTAAGTAAAAGAAAGGCTCTGAGACTTGACAAACTACAGGGAAGTAGGCAAAGGTGAACGAGAGTTACAGTTTCATATACACAAGTTCTACGAAGTTATAGTCCAATCAACTTTTATAAAAAAAAAACTCCAACAGGTTGATTCCAGGGTTACATTTGGTGTTGCATGGAAGCAGCTTGCTAACAAAAAAAACGAACCTCAAAGCATCAGACTTGCGGGGAAAAGCGGTTATCTAAAGACTGAGACAGAGAGTTTGTAACTCAATTGAAGTCATGATGGAAATCAGTGGAAAAACTTCACAACTCTGACATCCCACCGAAGAAACCACGAGAATATTTATGCCTGTAACACTTCTAGATTAAAAAAAGGGATTTTTAAAGCCTCCCGACTATAGCGTTGTGCAAGGAGAAAGTAGCACTCCTCACTGTTTGGTCCCTACCTAGCGCACACGAGTACCGTTTTCCCAAAGATGATTTTTTCACCATGAGGGCAGTCAAGCAGCAGCACAGAGAGGCTGTGCCGTCCCGATCCCTGGAGATTTTCGAGGCCAGAAGGGATGAAGCCTCCAGCACCTCGGCCCCACCTCAGAGCTGACCCTGCTTTCAGCGGGTTGCACTGTGAACCCGAGCACTGTGCACCTGAGGCCCCTTCCC